GACAAAGAAATGTGTAAAATATCTTCTTGAATCTGTTTACTTTACTAACCTTGAAAGAGACTCTTGGGTCTTAGCTGTGCCACCACCCTTAAGCCTTAAAACACATGCATCAGAAAACCAATGCAACAAAATTTCAGATGTCCTTCACTGACATTTTTATTGTCTTGAACATATTTTGACCTCCACACACTTGCTGCTAGTCAAATATATTGCTTTAAACAAATAAAGGCAAAACAAGCATCTAAAGCTTCTCCTGGCATTATGAAAAGAAGAAAGCCAAAACTGCTTAAGCTCTACACTTAAAGTCAACTAACAAATGTATATTAACCATTGTCAGGAAAACATGAATTTGACCAAGCACATAAGCTTGTGACATCACTTTTGCAGAAACGTACAGCTACAAAATGCTATAATAACAGTTAAAGTCAAGTAATGTTTGTAACAGACAGTGCTGTTTAAATTTCAATGTTAACAGTTCAGTGCAACACTTAACTTGTTTGCTAATTAGGGCAATACAAAATTCAAATAGTTTAAACTCTGTTGTATAGAATATAGAACATCTCTGAAACATCAAAAGTACAGTTCTCAGTAACAATCCCTAGTTAGAGGGATTGTTTAAAGATGTATGGTCAAAACCTCTGAAAAGCATGCCTGTGATAACAGAAATCAGGTAAGAGCACAGTACTCAATATCAGCTGGGATAACTGAAAACATAAACAACACAGTAGTTCCCAGTCAAGGTACAGTTAAGCTGACTGTACCGATCTGTTCAAAATGTCTTTAAACGGTCTCTCGCCACTCGTGATCAGAGAGATCGGCGATGAGGGTGAGTACTCTTGGGTTCACATGCAGTGTCTTCTTCTTAGTTTTTTCAACTTTTGTTCCCTTCTCTGGGTTAATGTTGAAGAAACACCTTGATAAACACAATAATCCATAATAAAACATTATACAATGAAAAAAAAGGGGGGGAAAGGCAAGGGAAAAGTAAAAGAATTACCTCTGAAGAAATTCAAGTGTGGAGCCAAGTTCCAGGGGATAGTGGATGTTCAGGCAGTAGTAGCTACCAAGCATAAGACAGATTGCAGAGATGAAGTCAGTATTTGATCATTTACAACTTTGTGGTCAATGCTGAGCATGAACAGTCTCGATGCAAAGCAGGAGGATCCTTGGAATGAAATACAAGTGTAAAATAATTAACTGTAAAACCCCCTTTACTATTCAAATGTGTCTTAAAATAGTGAAAGTGCAGACATTTAATATAGTGTATCCTTGCATTAGCTTAGGTTCTGTGCACTTCTGTGCACACTGTACTGATTTTCAACTCACCACAAACAATGATACATGGTGTCACAGGCAGGCTTTCCACTTGGACTTCTTTTGCCAGACATGTTTCATCAACATAGTGGAAGAGGGTCTCCTCTTTTTCATCGAAATAGGAGAGGAGGAGGAGCATCATATCTTTCACGTCTTCTGAGCAGCCCTTCAGCTGTCCCCTCTGCATTCGAAGCTTTATGACAGCCTCCAAGACACGCTTGCTCTTGTCTGCACAAGTGGCTTTCAGAAAGTCCAGAAGCCATTTTCCCTTCTTTTCCAGACTGGTGAGGAAAGTTTCTTTCAGCGGTACCCCAGTAAGTTCTTCAAAATGGACTGTCATTCCAATCGCCTGAAACGAAAAAGGCTACTCTTCTTTGAGGGTTTGCATGTCTGCGCCGCTGTTTATTGCTTTGCGCTGAGAGTAGTAGGTGCATTTCATTAGAGTTTTTACTTCTTCATGACTGAAGCTTGTCTGTTCACTGAGAATCTTCATACGTTCTTTTTTCTCCTGCTGGGTTTCCAGTGTCTCACTGACTGGCAAAAACTTCATGTCCCACTTTATGCAGCCATATGTGTCTTGAACAGATGCTCGCTTTTCAGGTGTCACTTCATCAGTGTCATCTGATCCTCCCTGTTTGCGCTTCTGTAACACTGGTGAAGTAGACCTCTTCACATTTTCAATTCGTGCCTGAATCTGTTTTACCAAAGAGTGGTACCCCTGTCCTACCACATCCCCCTCTATGACATCCTGCAGTGACTTGGGATACATCGCAACCAGTTTTTTTGCAATTTCAGTCGAGGCTCTTCTACTTGGAGAGGCACAGGCTTTCATCATCTCCTTCACAATGATGCGGATCATCTCCCTCCGCAATCGAGGCTTTGGTTTTTTCTCTCTCTGAAGACACTGGATCAAGTCTTCTGGAAAATCTTCACTTGGAATTCTAAAGTTATCTACCCAGTCTAGAGAATATATTGGACTGGGTGAGGGGGAGGCAGAAAATGAGGAGCAAGAAGATGGAGACGATATGCTGGCCTGGCTTGAAATTTCCATATTTGGTGCTGTAAAACAATATCACAAAC